GAGTACTATTCATTTTGTTTCTTCTAATTTCTAACTCATCTACTAGCAATAAAACTACAGAAAATACTCATTTAATTATGAGTTTTTTTGTTTTCATTTGTTTTAACTGTTTGTTATTATAAAAGTAACTAAAATCATAAAAATATGAATTTGTTAGGTAAGATAATGAAAGAAAAATAAAAAACATTCATGGGGTATACATGCCAGAAGCTTCAACATTATTCTGTTTGATAGGGTCTTGTCAATGCACATGTGCTGTGTAATTTCCAACTTCTGTTGGGGTATTTTTAGTCAGACACAATTCAAAGGTCAGTAAAACAAAAATTAATAAATATGAATATACTTATACTGTTAAGAGATTTAAGCTATTTAGAATAAACATTTGTGGTTTCCTATTACAATTTACAGTTATTTTAGAACAAAAAAGGTAACTTGGATTTATTTCCTAATTTTCATAATGGTTATGAGGTCGGTCAAATCGATCAATGCCATATAGAGTTAATATTAATAAAATAACAGATTAAATATAAAGTTTTATTTAAAAAAACGTTTGATGATTATCTAGAAGGATATAGAGATTAAACAAATGAAACTTGACAAATTTTGATTAAGAAAAGTATATTTAATCTTAAAATCAAAATTACTTTCTATGTTGGATAGTCAACATTCTGAAAGAAAAAAACTTCATGAAGAAATCTTTAATAAAAAAAAATCTTCAAATGTAATTCAAAAACCAGATATTTTATGAAATCATTGTAGTGTTTACTAATAATTTGCAAAATTTTGTAAAGACTTGCATATATTTTCAAAAATTATGGTACAATTACTCTCATAGATACTTTCCTGGTTACGAGCTGGTAGGATTCTACCCAACCCATAATGGAAGGATTAAATGCAAGATGATTTTCATTAAGAATAAAAGAACTTCTTTATATCATACAGTTTTCATATTTTATTTGCATAAACTAAAAAACTTCCTAAATGTATGTCAGAAGTTTTTAATCTGAAAGCTTATAATTTAACTGATTTTATAGTTTCTTTTTAATATTATGGTTTGCCTGGCTTGTACAATGTACAGATTATTCATTCCTGAAAAACAATACATCATAATGAAAACACAGTAACAGATTTCCATATACCCACCTGCTGCATGCATGAAGTTCTTCAGTCATTGCCTAGAGAGGAGCCTTGTTCAAATTTTTTCAACCTTCTTTGATTAAAAAAAAAATCATTCACCTTTTAAAACATAATTAATACATAATTTACTAAAATAGAATGTCCAAAAAACAACTAACTTCACTGTCTTTCTAACTAAGATATAACTAAGTTAAATAAAATTGTTAAATGCTATGAGTGCATCAGCTTTGCTTCCCAACAATCAAGACCTTTATCTTATGTCTGTCCAATATCTCTAATTTCAAAAATACTACTGTAAACTTGAAATTGAAAATAAGTTCTTTCTATTGGTTATAAACACATATATCAAATAAGATGACATGGTTTGGAAAAATGCCTTGAAAGTTAAGCATAGATGGGTAGGGTTTCTGTCAAGGGTTTTTAAATTTTATTTATCTTACTAAATGGAAAAGTTGAGACTTTGAAACTATATGTTGGAGAAAATTGAGGGAATTCACACATCACTGTGGAGACGAAGATTTTTTTGTTGAATATTTTCCTTTGAAACTAAGAAATTAAAACTTAGATAATATAAAGATCTGCATCATAGAGTACATTCTGATGTTAATTTTATCGCATACATTAGAAATAAAATTGTTTAATTAAATTTTTAAAGTAACTCTGAAACTGTTAAAATTTTGTGATATGTGTGGAAGAGCCATGATCATACCCAAAGGGTTTACCCTTTCAAGACGAGTCACAGGTTAAAGCTCATGTCATCTCGTTTTTTGACTCTCATTAAAAATTTTATTGAACTACTATTTCTTGAATTTATGTCAGTAAGTTTGGTATCAAACTGTAGATTATAATTCAAATTTTAGAACTATACATTACTCAATTTGTTAATTTAAAAGTAAATTAAAAAAAAACAGATAAACATTGATTTTTATGTGCCACGTGGTATGTTGAATGCAGCACTGGTTCGAATTATATGTTTGTGAAGTCAAAATACTAAGTCTGTAGTTTCGTATGAATTAGAAACTCAAATTACAGATATTGATTGGCTAGAATATAAAATAAGAAGGCCTTATCTTTTCGATTTGCTAAGATATTGCCCATGTAATAAATCAAGCATAGTGGCAACCCGCTCACCTCCTTCCATTTTTGGATATGCTCCCTTATATACACTTACTTCTACATATGACATAAATAACCAATCAGAAGCTCAGAATGTCTCCCTAGTGGTCTTCTCAGCCTTTCTAACATACCTAGCACCATTTTTTTTAATGAATATTTCAACGAGCTAGGGTATGTCTTTAGTCTGCTCGAAATTTCATATATTTTTTGAGTAAAATACATCTTAGTTACTAAGCTTGATAAATTATGGTTGAATTCTATGGTATTG